GTGTAAGAAGAGAGGGGAAAAAAAAAAAAAAAAACATGATGTCTATTAATATCTTATTGTCGTCGATGTCTGTCAGGTCACCTTGCTTGCAGTTTCTTTGTTTGCCTGTCCAAGTTCGAAGTTTATCGTTTGCTGTGGCTGATGCGCAAAGCTTAAATTATGACAGTATACCTCCTTTTTTAGTTTAACTTTTTTTTTGTCGTATATTTTTGTATAGATCTTTAAAAAACTTGCAAAGCTTTCCAAACTTATGTTTCTTTCACAGTTTAATTAAACTTCTTCAGTTATTGCACAAATAAACTTTGAAGCGTATTTTTGCTTCCATCTCGTTTTTTCTCCTCTACGGGAGGGAAAACGAAAATTCTACTTAGATTTCTTCCTGATTCCTAGATTCGGAAAAATAAATTATTATAGACCTTTTATAAAAGCGAAATAAACTTTCGTAAAGATTTAACCGTATAGAAATTATTTTGAAAAATTCCTTATATAGTGCTTGAAAGCTCGTTAGTGCCTTGAAATTAGATTATGAAAATCAGGGGAAAAAATTAAGAGTTCAAAGAACAATTTACCTTTATTTAGTTCACAATTATGAGAAAAATTTATTCATTTGAGTAATTTTTCTTAACCACATAAAATCTGATAATTTTTCAGAAAAAATAATTTTCGATTGTTATCTGCATATTTTCTTATGATCACAAAATATTTAAAGTTTTAGAGGTATATTTGTCACTAAAATCATGTATCAGTAAAAATTGTACCATTAATACTGTAGTTAATAATTGTAAAATTCATACTTATAATAAAATTCATTGTACTGTGATTTTTCTTTCGAAAGCAGTCCCAAACATAAGGTTGAATTTTGACATTTATGAATGCCCAAATGATATATTGCATCTGACATTTACGAAATATTTTTTCAATAAAAATAAGATAAAATAAACTATTAAGTCAAAACTAATTTTATGTAACCGTTTGTTTTACAGAAAAGCTCAATGTATTTCCTTAGAATCTGTCACAGGACTTTCATTTTCACACAGCAAAATTGTTCTTGAAATGCATTAAAGAGTTTTCTCTAAAATAAATTCTAATTGAAGACAGAAGCCTGTCTTAATTTTAGACTCAAACGGGCAAGTTTCTTCTTATGGCCACAAAATCCTTTCCTGTTTTATCGAGAGAAGTTAGACTAGAAACTATCGGAAGAAGAAGTTTGACAAGAAAACATTAAGTCTCAAATTAATTTGTAAATTACTTTGAATTATTTGCACAGCTTACATTTTAAAAAGCAGAAAAAAATCTGCTTTAACTGTTTTTAAATGGAACACTAGGATTTTATATAGAGTAACAAAGAACTGCATTAAATATTTTCTTGCACAACTGATCCCGTATCAAATTAAAACAGGAAAGCATAAACTATTTTCGATAGAAAGCAAATGCAAGTTGGAAGCAGTAGTTATGTTACCTCTAAAGTGCAGAAATAAGTTATTCTGCAGATTATCCTGTAGAGACATTAGGTTATTTCGTAGCAGCAGAGATGTGAAAAATGAGCAATGCCCTCGCCGGGATTCGAACCACGGACCTCTCGAATACGCGCCGAGCGTGCTGACCATTACACCACGAAGGCATGTTAAGAAGGCGGGAGAAATACCTTATGTACTGCCCCTTCTAAAGGGCGACTGGGGATTAAGGGGCCCAATCGCCAAATCATGGTGGTGGAGAATCATCATCTACCACCTTTTTTCTTTTCTTTTCTTTTTTTTTTTTTCTGACCACTACACCACGAAGGCATGTTAAGAAAGCGGGAGAAATACCTTATAACCTAGCTTACTTGCAAATTAACTAGGGTGATCCATTAAGGTGAGGAAAACCGTTTCATTTCTCAAATTACCTAGCTAATCTGAAAATTACCTAGATTATCTTCACATTATCAAGATCTTTGCTGGAACAACAGCAACTTTTGTATACACTTAAAACAGCCGCAACTTACACTTTTAAATTGTTGATCCTGCAGGATTTCAGAAAATGTTATTGCAAATTTAAATGTAACACAGATAGGTGTGGTTGTTGCAAAATCCTTTTGCTATGTAATAGCTATGTGTCACCAATCTTTAGAATGAACTAATAAGTGCGCATAATTTTATCGTATATTTTGCAAATTCATTTCCTTAATTGTAATTTCTATTTAAAACCTTTTTTTTTTTTTTTTTTTTTTTGTTGTTAGTATTATACTAGTTTTTAATTGATTGATGATTGATTCTATTAACTTAATTTTTTAGATATTGAAAAATAATTAAATAACATAACGTACAGAAACGTTATGCTATTTATGTTAACGTTATGTTATCATGTAACGTTAAGCGTTCAGAAACGTTGCTGTTGTTCCAGTGAAGATCTTATTTTCAGTTTAACGAGCAGCTAGTACGCAATGTGCAGATTAGCAAATGCCTAGTACTAATGTGAAAAGTGAAAGGAGAGGGAAAGGAAATGAGAGAAACAAACTTTTGAGTCTTAATGATACGGAAGCCGTTAATATGCACATTACATAGATAAAATGCATAAAACTCCTGATTCCGCACTTTAACGGAGCAAATCAGTTAATCTGCAGATTAGGTAGGTAATGTGCATATTAACGACTTTCGCACTTTAGCGGTAACAGTTATACTTAGCAAATGTTACGCACGTTTTTAATCTATATAGTGGATCGAAACATGCCATCAAATACCTTAGTGTCACTGATATACGGAGGACTTTTATAAATTTAAGAAATGTATATGAAGTTTATATTCAATTTATGTTTCATTAATTAACCGCGAAAAAGACCTGATAACATAAAATTCCTCTACGAAATTTTAAAGGGGGGGGGGAATCTCAGTTATTTACGTCGTATTCTTCTAACAAATTTTAAAGAGGGGGAAAAAATCTCTTATTTATGTTGCACGTAAAAAAACACTAAAACAGAACCCGGAGAATTAATATTAAGAATGCATAGTATGATATATTCCAAAAGTGATATAATCTGAACATTTATACACTTCATTATCCTTTTACAAATGAGCTTGATTAGAAGAAATAAGTCATGCCACTGTACACAATGCTGGGAATGTGCTTGATTGTAATATCTGTAATTAGCTTGAGTAAAAAAAAAACATGTTCCACGTGACACTGGTTTAAAGTAGCATGTTGCATTGGTTTTTATAAATCAGTTTGTCAGTTCAAAAAAAAAAAATTACTAATACCTAATAAAATAAATACACAGCGTAAAATTAAAACCAGAGGAATAACCTGAAAATTAAAATTATAAACTAATTTATAGTTTCATTTTGATCATTTTTGTCCTTAAATCCTTATTTATAAAATATTTGGTAAAATATGATAATTTAATAAAAAAACTAATTTCATGAAAATATTACTTTCTATTATTTCGCTAATCTTTTTCAATGACATGAACGCAATACAGCTCTGTAAAATACAGTAATTCAATAAAAAAAATAAATCCCATAAAAATATACTACTATGTCTAATTTCGCGTATCTTTTTCAAAGACATGATCACTCTACAATATTGTGTCACTCTCGTACTTAACTTGCCTACACGGAGGTTATAAGAGGTTAGAGAACTCGTATAACCTCACGAATGCCTAATTTTAAAAGATGATATCTCACAAAGTGGAAAATTTTCTCTTCATTTATTTATTAATTAATTTTTTAAGAATTATTGTTCCAAATCATACTATGTATTATTGTTCCAAATATACATTGTTCTTCTCCTAGATATCTAAGTATTCTTATCCTTTATGGGGTTATTTTAATTTTAACTTATCAGAGTATTAAATATTATTCAGAATATTCATAGCTTTTAAATAGTATAAATATACCCTTCATTTTCACTGCAGAAAAATGTGATTTTTACGTGCTAAAAAGTACTGAATGTAATAGCAGAACATTTAAAGAAATCATAACTTTCACTTCAATATTTCTACAGAACAAACTAATACTTTCATCTCAGACTTTAAATATCACATGTCGATTAAAAGAATTAAAAAATACATTAAAAGACGATTTCTTAAAAAAATTAGTTGGAAAAAAATTTTAAAAAGATTAAATTAATTTATTGATTGATTCAACTGCTTTTTTTTGCCACATGAAAGAGTTATTTTTTCTCTTAATGTTGATTTTTAATGTGAAAATTTGCATATTTATCTATATATTATTATATAGAAATATACAAGTTTTTAGTATGTTAAAAAAATCCACGATTTTAAATTTTATTTTAAACACAGTATTAAAAACAAAGCATTTTTTTAAGATTAATTTTAAGGAATGTAGTTTAAATTACTGTTCTTCCCATAGCCTTTTATTTTATCAAAGATTATGCATTATAGCATATTATTTATCTAGTATGTATTTTATTAAAACTTACTTCAGTACAAAATTTAATTAATTACTTGCAGTATTTTATTAATTATTTACCGCTAATATTTTGTTAATTACTTACGTACAGTATTTTATTATTTACTCACTTTAGTACAAAATACAACTAACACATTTTTTTAATAAAAGTAAACTCAAAACTATATGTGTTGATCCAAAATAGCACATAAATTGTTTTAATTATTATTATTGTTTTTGTGCTAAATTAAGCGAAGAAAATTTTTATTTAAACAAATCTAAACAAAATACCTTTACCTATTTACACAAAACATTATTCTTTCTCGAATATAAACTAATAATAAAATAAAGTTGTACTGCACTTAAAAATAAAAAATTAAAAAAAAAATCCTTATTATATTACTGAGAAACTACATGCATTATTGTTATTTTTATTATAATTTTAAACTAGAATTATAAAATTTCCTTTTTGAATTAAAGTATTAAAACAAAAGAAATTTTCTGCTTTTCAACATTTAATTTCAAAAATTTCTAATTGAATTACGAATGAATTAAAATAAATTCTGAAGATGTTGCGTATGAACGCAACTACAAAGCAAAACTATTATTACTTACCGGTCCATGATGAACTTGTAGATACCATCTAATGTTATTCTGTTGTCCGGCGCACTGCGGATAGCCATAGCGATTAGAGCGATGTATGAATAGGGGGGCTTCTGCAGAGGGGGGTCTGTTCTGCCACTTTCTGAGACCGGGTTAGTCTGCGATGGGGCAAGCACTCTGTTCATATCGTAACCCGGAATATGTCGGAAACTTCCAATCACACCATCCGTTCCTCTGTGGGAATACAACATTCCCGGGGAATAGACAAAGTTTCTAGGATCAGCAAAAACGGGAAAATAACGATTCGCCATTTCTGGATAATAACTGTCCACAATAGCAATGTTTTTTTTTATGTCGATTTGTCCACAGGTGCAGCCAACTTCTTTCACTCAGTTCCGTTTCCAAAGATGTTGTTTTTAAGCAAAAAGATATAAACCATTGTTTCAGTAAATAACTGTAGTATCCACCGAGAATATGAGGGGCATGAAGAAAACAGTCAATACTGTTTTGTTTGCAAGCGTGTTCATTTGATAAATTGTTTCAAATATGGTTAATATAAAGTTTGTACATAGAATTAATTATATAATTTCTAAGGGGGGGGGGGGGTTCTAAAACCTAAAACTGTGGCATAAAAATACAAGGGATGAATTCTTTTCACTAACCATAAAATGAATAAAAAATACAATCCTCGTCTTCCAAACGTTCTTTTAAAACCTAAAATGATAAAATGTTTGAGTGAAGAAATAAATCAAAAATTATTTCTAATATTTTCTAACCGAGGCAATTGTTCTAAAACTGGTATAACTCCAAACCAGTGCCCAAGTTGCAATCTCTAACAATAAGACTTGGCTTCAGAAAAGATCCGAGAGTTTATATACTATACAGAGTCTCTCTCTTTCCACTAAGACAGCATCTCCCACACATAGCAGCATCCACCTCTCCTCCTATCTTTGGTGAGCTGTGAAATTACCAACTGATCTTTTCTGTCAGGGACAACAACATCAAGAGAACGGGGAGATCTCCTGTACCCCTGAGGCGAGGGTCCCCCTAGTATTTTGAGATTCAACAGAAGGCGGACAGTGGAGCAAAATAAACCTTTCGCGTTGTAGGGACACGAGCTCTCCAGTGTTTCCTTTCGCACGGCGGGGCCTTTGTTACAAAAACATATCAATCACATTTTGATTGGATGGCTCTGGAGACGAAGAAGAAAAACTCGCGCTCGCGGCAGCCCGGTTTTGTTTCTCCGAAAACTATCTGGGAACACCGGACAGCTGGTTATTTCCTCGTGTAGTATAATGCAGCAAGCTCTTTGTTTATATTCTATTTCGCCGGACTTTCTATTAATGCGAAATTCTAAATATTGGAAGAGTTTATCTTGGATATTTTTCTTCCACCTTTTATCCTCTGTAATATGATACCTAAAAATCTCCCTTTCGTTTTTTGCTAGGTAGATTTCACGTGTTCTGATTTCGCATTCGGAAAGTTTACAAAGCAGGTATAAATGCAATATTTTTAAAATCCTTCCATCTCCGATAAAAGATTTATGTTATCCATTGTCTGTAAAATTTCAGAAATCTCACTAATAATACTTTTGGCTTATACAAACACACAACTTTCGATAAAATAATTTTTGATAAGCAGTGATTTGTTTTCAGATAATTTTTAGTGAAAATAATTTCATTAGTAGAAATCTTCAAGCACTTGGATGAATAATTATTTATCTTGAATAGTCAAAAAAAAAAAAAAAAAAAAAAAAAAAAAAAAACATTAGTGATAAATTCACACTTTTAAGTAAACTTTCTAGTAATATATAAATCCTTGCAGCTCTCTTAAAAGCATTTTGCACATTTCCCATACATGTTATGAACAGTTTCTTTAGTCATAAAAAATTGAATTTTTAGTTTATGTAAATAACGTTTTTGCCATAGAAATTATTGCTTAATTTAAATGCAATGAATAGGCAAAAATAATAAATTAATATTAATTTTTAACGTTTCAGGTATCTGCATATATTCAAGATTGTTAATAAATTTCTTTTGCGACTTTGAACACAAAATTTGTCAACCTACAGAATTGTATAACAGAACCGAACTCTTAACACTGCTGCATTCAGAAAACAATGCGAAACAAACACACTTGACATATCACAAACAAATCAAATGACGCAGAGCCAAAAATAAATGCGAAATTCAACAATGAACGTCCGGCAGCTCACAGAATAAATCAGTTTGTTGCGCGACTACTTGCGCGAAAACTAAAAAAGTTCTTCCAACTCCTGGAAGGAACATTTAACATAAATTTCCGCCGGTAGAACTTCTCTCGGCAAGATGCGTTTCGTCCCGCGCGCACGTCCGTTGCCAATCTCTTCCGATCTAAAACGAGAATTAATAAATACTCAATCGCTCTTGTCTCGTCGAAGTCGATAATTGGCGAGATTATGACTCGCGTTTTCTATCTCTTACAGTTCACGTGTAAAAAGTGAGAGGAGAGCTTCTGGTCTACTAACACTCATGTATGGCATCTCATCCGAGAGCTCTTATCTTTGCTAACTGAGCGAGGCGTTTAAGCGTTCTCGTTTTAAATGTATGACCTTTTCTCTATCTCTTCGCGACTGTTATTTCTTACTTTTTTTTCATTCCCTCCCTGTTGTTTTTCCTTCTTTTTTAACAACTTCTCTCCTAGTTTATTGGACGGCGTGGAAGGAGGGGCCTGGATTTTTGTTGAATGTTATGTCATCTGGATGTTTGGTTAGGGTCAGAGTGGACTTTTTGATGAGAGTATAAATGGGTGGCAGTAAGAACAAACAACGTCGACCAAGAAGTGTGTATTGTCCGTCCGGCCCACACACGTCAATTAAACACTCCCGTTGCTATGACTACCACCGGCTGCGACCAATCAGCGTGCGAGGAAACGCGGAGGGGTTTTATTTATAAAACCTAACGGCTCATTATCCTGTGGCCCACCCAGGCCGAGAGAGATGGTTTGTTTGTCTTTTTTCAACCTGCAAGGTTCCTATATTTGGCTGGTTATTGCGCTTATTTTTTTTTATGGCAGCCCATTGAGGGAGTGCGAGAAAATGCTTCTCCCGCGTCTACCTCCCTCCTCCTCCGCTCTCTAACGCACCGACCGAGAGTCTCCTAGATAACTTTTTTTTTCGGTGAAGAAAGGTATTTTATTCGGACAACAGGTGCTAAAAAATTTTTAAAGGAAATAAATTATGTTCAAATATGTTTAACTCTACTACTGCTATATCGACTTTAAAATTAGAACTCAGTGTTTAAGCTACCTTGTTTGAAACTTCTGTTAATAACACATGGGAGAGGTAGTGGGTGAAAAAATATAAACTGAAGGCTCTTGGCAAATCAGGAAGCTATTTTCGATCAATGCTGCTTAATTTAATTTTATTCAGAATGTAGCAGTTCAACATTGCTTTTTAAACTTCTTGGTAGTATAAAAATGTTAATTTTTTTAAAATGATCTTTTGAAAAATAAATCACTGAACTTCTGATAAAATTTCTTTAAAAATGAAAGAAAAATATAAAATCTGAAAGGTTTCATATTTTAACGGTCGCTCAAAAAAATCTGTTAATTTTTTTATACTGTGCTGAATTAGCAGTTTACAAGTCTACCCTTGCATTCACTACTTCTGTCGTTTTTTATCTGTATATTTTTTTTTCCTTTTTAGTTTTATTATTAAGCATCATTGTCTTCGAGCTTACGTCACATACATTTCAACACCAATACCTCAAAATTTTTAAAAGATGCATCGCAGCGTGCATTTAGGATTCCTGATGCAGTGCTGGCATATTTTTTTTTTAATTCCACCCCCCTCAATCTTTCCTCAGTTCATCATACTAATATTAAATTTTCTGAGTAACCTAGTTAACAGAATTTTTTATTATTATTATTAACTTTTTATCTGTTAACATTATTTATTAAATATCACGTTTATTGCACATACGCCACATAAAATTCAATTCAACAGCAGAATCATAAAATATTTAAAAACAGCATACCTTTAGAGTGTTAGAGGGTGCCATATATATTTTTTTATATTTGTTATATTATTTCTTTTTTATTTCGTTATTTTATTCTGTTATTATTTCGTTATTTTATTTGTATTCATTATATTATTTCTTTAAAGACTAGCTCGCATAGCCAGCCGTTTAAAATAGTTATCATAAAAAAGAAAACGTTTATAATGATTTTAATGAGTACAACCAGTATAATTTCCTAAAAGTATTGAATATTTCTAATTAAGCGTCTCATGATTTTAATACATGTTTATTTAAATCAATCACATTAAAAAGCAGAAAACTGTACTCGTTGCTTTCAAATCGCTTAGTTTATTACTCAGTAAACTTCCAAATGAAATTTGAAAGTATCTTAGGCTTTATTGAAAATGCAACACTCTGGCGCGTGGAAGGTAAACGTACTTTATTTCCGGCCGCAGCAACACATAGCTTTCATAGAGTTGAGTCTGTTAACTAAAACTGAAGGATAAATATCTTACTTTTTTCCAAATGGCAACAATGTCGCATGTTGTGTTATTCCGAACAGTATTGCCACGACTGACTCTCAAATCGTTCAGGTTATTAATCAGAAATTTATTAATGTTTTACAAAATATGAAATAAATGATAAAACAAATTCGAAATACAAAATTCGGGCTTCCAAGTGCACATGTTCGGGTGGAGGACTACATTATTCAAAATTTGATGGCTCTAGGTACCAACATTTTTTCACAATGCGAGGAATTTACATATATGCATGCAGATTCTTCATTATTTAATTTCTTTAGAAATAATACAGGGTGATAATATGTGGTGGCAACAATTTCAAAAGTGATATTAAATTTATAATGAAACAACGCAAAATACCATTTCAAGTCTAATAGTCCCTTTTGAGTTAAAAATAGACACACAGAGAGAGAGAGAGAGAGAGGAAAAAAAGAGAAAAATTTGTTGAAAAAAAGTTTTGACTCAAGATTTTATTCGTTTATTAATAAATTTATTTTCAGAATTTCATATTGATATCATACATTGTTAGCATAAATTTAGGTATTTTGCATAATGAAACTCGAAGGGCATACGAAACGAACGTGCGCCAAGATATATATTGGCGAGAGAAAGTAAAGTTCGCGTGCAATGCAGTATATTTTGACTTTCACCTTAGCTGCTTATATCACGGCCAGAGGTCTAATTCAGTTAGTACTCTTTTCAGGTACGGTGTCAAAGTATGTTCCTGTTTTTTCTTATTGCCTAAATAGGTATGCTTGAAGATGTATGACTTATATTTGTATGTAAGTTATCTCCTTTTCGATAATTCAGTGTTTTAATGTCTGTGAAGATTATACTTTTTGTTATGCTTAAGTTAAGCAAAAATCTCCTATTTTATTAAATAAAGATTTCGTAGTTAATTTTCTGACTCATGATTCTTTAATGAAAACTGCGCCTGAGGAAACTCATTACGCCTTCAGTGCTAATGCACAAACCAACATACATGTTATTATTATTATACAATTATTTTAACATCCCTAATACCTATATACATTTATAAGGATGTTAAACTGAAA